CAAAATGGACCTTGTGCCTGGTACTATTTACAGGGCCAAAACAGGTAGCTGGCTAGGTCACAGACTCTAAAGAAGAATCTAGAATGATAATGCTGAATGAACAATGAACGTATTAAAAACTGTCCCCTAAGTGATCTTAATAACCACAGATTAGTTCATCTCTCAACACTCACCCTAGTAGCTTCTTTTTGCAGTAGACTGCAAAGACCCATATCTAGCCTAAATGGGATATCTACCTACATCTCGTCACCACCAACACACTCAAGACTCAGGAATCATCTTAGAAGAGGGGCAGATAGATTTTAACAGCCACCGTACACATGAACTCAACAGTGCAGCATGGCTGTGGGAGGGGCTCCTAAAGCCCCATTTTTAGCTGAGGAGCTACTGACGGCTGACGGGAAGGAGAGTTAGTTTTCCACAGGGATGCAGCCCCGAGAAGCTACCAATGCTCCAGGAGATGGCCCTACATCCAGGCAGGCCCGGATGCTGTTAAGCACATGTAGTGCCTGTTATACCACAGCACACGAAGCTGGGAGGAAACATGTTAAGAAAACAGGGAAGACACTGGAAGAGATGAGGTGGAAAGTGGATTTGATTAAAATGTGCCATGTGTGAAAAATCCTTAAGCAACAAAAAGTACGATTAATAACAATAAACATGGAAGGTCCTTCCTGCTGAGAAAAAGTTCATAGGTGAAGAATGCCAATAACGCTCTTATGTTTTTCAGATCTGGTGTCTATTTTCTCTTGTGGTGACTGTGGTGGGGGTGGGGACCTTGCTAAGAGGCTTGTGTCAAATTCACAGTCCTCCTGCTTTTGTGTCCCAAGTGGGGCTAGGTACATGACTCAATTTTCTAAAAATGCTTTAGCATTTAATGAGATACACACTTAGCTTCATAACCTCCTTACTATCCCCCTTTCATCTCTCTGCCCCCAAGTAGAGGGAATGGTTTTTAAGGTAATTTCAGTGACTAGGAAGAGAAAAAGCACCAGATACTAGAAATAGGGGCTGGAGAGGTGGCTCAGAGGTTAAGAGTAGTTACTGCTCTTGTAGAAGACAAGGGTTTGGGAAGCAGTACCTCCGTCATGCTCACAACCATTTGTGAGTTCCTGCAGATCCAACACCTCTTGGGGCCTACATGGCTGCCCACACACAGCTGGTACACTTAGGATAAGACATTTTAAAAATAATACATTGGAAGTAGGAAAGGCCCCATAAAGTCCTCCAATGGGTCTCAAAAGAGCTCTCCTAAGCCAATGGTAAGTGCGCGCCACACAGCAGCCAGCGGGATTTCTGCAGCTCCTCACCTATATATTAGGTCTAAATTGCAGACCAAAGATAAATCTGAAGATATTAAGAAAATGCAGTATCGTTTTATTGATAAAAAAATTTCACCCAAAACTAACAAGTAGCTATTTCATTTTTTTTAATCTAAAACTTCTTTGAACTCTTAAATGTTACAATGTAACAATTTTGTTGTTGCTGAAGCAGGGTCTCAAATCCCCCAGGGTAGATACACCGCAAAAATGACCCTGAACTTACCCCCCTGCCTCCTCTTCCCACCACTGGAATAATCAAGGACCTCCTGCATGCTAGGGAAGACACTACCAACTACCACACCCCCAACCATAAAGCATTAAGTGTGCTACCAAAACAATAAACAAGAGTCAACTCAAAACTGCCACTTAAAAAAAACTACTCACAAAGCTCCTTCCCAAGCTTTAGAAAGTTTTCTATGTGAGAAAACAGGTCATGGAAATGAACTTTCATTATTTACAAATACTGTGCTGTTTCAAAGATCCCAGGTTTTCCAAGTGGTAAGTTTTACTGATGTCTTACTTATGACTGTTCTGCACAATATCAGCATTAAAGACACACGGCCAGGGAACTGGCTCCGTCAGTAAATGCTCCCTATCCTGACAGCCTGAGGACCCATTTCATGCACCAAAGTAAAAGCCAGCAGGCAGATTGCCCCCCCCCCCCGCCACAAGCTCATTTTTAAGACAGTCTGGCCATATCTGTAAACACCACAGTAAGAAGAGACTGAGAGAGAATTCACTATACTCCCAACACACATGCATGTAGTTCACAAATGTGTGCTCGAACACACAGTACCAATACAAGACACACCTTACATACTCTATATCCACAAACAGGAAAGGTGTGTACGCTCTATGCTTAACTGAACACTGAAAGTTGTTTTTTCTTTCATTTTCTTTTCTTGTCTTTTCATGCAGCCCAAAGTGGTCCAGGATGCACTTTGCAGAAGGGATGACTTTTAGGTTACGATGGATCCTCCGCCTCCAATTCCTGGGTGCCATAGTATCAGCAAGTATCACTACAACCAGTTTTAAAATTCTCACTTATTTTCCATGTCTCCCCCGTCAATACACGTATGTGTCATTTCCCTGTATATCCAAGGACCACAGACAAGTGCTCCAACTGATGGCATGTGCCACTACACCCTGTTTCTAAGTGTTAGGGAATGAATCCTGTATGCTGAGAAACTTTTCTACCACTGAACTACTTTTTTATGCCTATTTTTACAAAGTTTAGACACTGACAGCTTTCCAGTTATTATGCCCTTTGCAAAAGACCTTCAGATTCTCAGGCAAGCCCCAGGAAGCACATGACAAAACACAGCTTAATTAATGTCTCACACAGTTTAATTAATAATTCTCAACAGTTGATCACAGGAAATATCCCATCTCAAAACTGCCTCTCCTTAATACTAAAACAGCTAAGCTCTGGCTGATTTGCATTTTTGAGTTGGATTTTAAGTGTAAGTCATAATATAGTTTCTTCCTTTTGTGAATTTTCGGATCTGAGAGTGAAACTTGGTTTTAACAAGTACCACAGCTCGTTCTTCTGAAAACTTTAACCAGAAGACAAGTTCTGAGTTACAGCCGTTCAGGTTTCTTCTTAAAATACCCCTTTACTCAAACTGAAAATACATTTGCTCGGGTTAGCTTACACAGGCAGACTTCTTAGTCAAGCATCTGCTCCTTTGAAAACAGTGACCTGTTCCCCCTCCAAAACTTACTAGTTGCTCAAGCAACCATGGCTGGACCTTCACCTCTGGGAGCTTGTACTTCACATGTAAGTTTCTTGATTCCAGTGAGAAAATGTTTAAGGTACAAAAAATAATTATACTTGTATTAGAAATCAGAAGAATGATATAAATAACTAAAAAGATGTGACATAACCACCTATTTTTCTGAGAACTGATTTTTAAAATCAAGTTATGGTTCTAGTTAAGAGGATCTTCACAATGTCACCTGAAAGGCAAAACCAAAAAATCCCCAAACATCGCCTTCGTCCTTAAAGCGAGGCACGCCCACCAGCTCAATTAGGTTGTGTCCCTTTCCAAGAACATAAAATTACAGCGTAAGTACATACTGTACTTTGGGTGCCCAAAGGGTTTTAGGGTTTTGTTGTTGGTTAGTTTTTAATGGCAATGCTTTATGTAACAGACGACATTCCATAGATTAATAAAACAGTCAAGTACTTAAAGTCAAGTGTTATGTAAAATTGGATTTTAAAGAAAGTTGCTATTTTGTGAATTAGAGCATGTGAAATAGATATTTTAGTTTGGAACACCTGGTAATATTGCATGTAAGAGTAAGGTCTAGTATACATCTTTAAAACACACCGTGGCAAAAATAAAACAAGCCCTGGGTCCTTCTCCAAGAACTTTCATATGATGTAAGTTGACCTTTAGCTCCTTTAACCACAGGGATGACAAGAGCATGTGAAACCACCTCGCTGTAACAATCACGCAGCAAACACTGATCTCTGTTCTGCTCATAGCCAAGACCAAAAGAAAGCTCTCAAAATCTAAGTTCCACCTGAGCCGCTGAGAAACTGTCAGCCAGGGTAACAGCCAGGGCTGGCTACACTTTGAGAGAGACCACTAGGCGATATTACAATTCTCTCCTCCAAAAGGCCCCAGGCCCTTACACCACAGGGTAGGAGTGTCGCAGGCCATACAGTGTCACCGGTTTCTCCCTTTCCTGCCACCTTCCCAAAGGTAAACAAGGACCCTAAACACCTAATTTACAAACCCGCCATCCTCTTTCGAGGCAGGAGGTCTCTGGCAATTCCCAAAGTGAGCACCTTACTTAAAACCTCCACCAAATACTCACGAGAAGCTCCCGGCCTTGCCCCTCGTGGGTAGGTCCGTGCTTTATACTAAAAAAAGCACGCGCAATCACTAGGCGCCATCTGGTCACGCGTAGCAGGTTGTGAACTTTCAATGAAAAGCATCCCTCCCCAGGCAAGCCCAACCGTGGAAGCCCTTCCCGGCGTGTAAAAGTGGGGCCTCCCAGCCCGGAGGCACTGGCCCTTTAAAGGCTTTAGCTTCCTGTACACGCGGTCCCTCCCTCCTCAACCGCTCCCGCCCCGGCCAAGGGTCACACTTGAACTTCAGGTGGCCCAGAGCCTACTAGCAGTGGCCGCTCACTTGGACGAGTCAGAAACCCGTGCCCGGGAGAGTGAGAACGCTCGACCACCTGTTCAGGCCACTCTGGATAAAACCGAATTTGCTCCGGCTTCGGAAACCTTCGGCAACCGCGGGCCCGTGCCAAGCTCAGCCAGCCGCGCGTTTAGCCTTCCCACCAGCAGCACGAACCCCGCGTGTGCGTGTGGGTGGGTCCAGGGAGACCTCGGCGGCCAAAGGCCGGGAGAGTGAGCGCGCGTGTGGGCGGGGAGCAGCCGTCCGACCCCTCGCGGGTCCGGGATGTCAAGTGGAGAGCCCTTTGAGGGGAACCCCTCGCTCCAAAACTTTCACGCCCGCTCTGGCACTTCCCTCAAGTTCCCAAACAGGCCTTCTCCGGGGCCCTCTCGGACGCCCACGCGTGCATCTGGTCCACAGGTCCGGGTCTCCGCGACGAGCCCCGCCACACCTGCCACTCCTCGCCCGCTCTCCCCGCGCGCGCGCGCCCCGGCCCCGCACACCCACGCGGCCGACCCTCCGCCTGCCCCCCCGGGGCGTTCACCTTCCAGCCGGCCGAGCTGTTGCTGTCGCCCTTATCCTTGAAGTAGGGCACGCTCTTCACCATCCAATCGTAGATCTGCGACAGGGTGAGCCTCTTCTCGGCCGAGCTCTCGATGGCCTTGGTGATGAGGTCGGCGTACGACAGGTTGCCCCACGCGTTGCGGCGCGACGAGCTGCTCTTGCGCGGCTGTCCCGCGAGCGGCCCCGCGCCGGCGGCGGCGGCGGCGGCGGGGGGCACGGGCGGGGGCTGCGATAGCGGCCCGCTCGGCGGGGGCTGCGGAGGCGCCGGGTGCACGCAGCCCGCCTCGGGGCCCTGGAAGTCCCCGCACAGGCCCCGGCCGGCCACGACCGCCGCGGCCACGCAGCCCGGCGCCCGCGCGAAGTCCTCGCCCTCCTCCAGCAGGCTCAGATTGCTCATGAAGTCGGCGCTCACAGCGGACGCCGGGGCCAGGCTCGCCGCGGCGTCGGGGTTGGCGACCGCGCCGCCCGACGGCGCCGGGCTGGAGGTGGTCGAGTTGGACTGGTTAAACTCCGGCCTGGGCAGCGGCCAGGTGCACGAGCGCTGCCGGGGCAGCGGCTCGAAGTCCGGGTCTGTCTCCACCGCCTGGGGCGCCTCGGCCATGGTGACCCCCCGCCCCTCCCCCACCGGCGGACAGTACCGGGAGTCGCGGCCACCGGGGGCGCGGAGCTGGCGACCCGGGGAGTCGCTCCGAGGGTCGGGGCGGCCGCGGAGAACTGGGCGCACGCCGGAGCGAGGCGCGGCGCGGCGCGGCGCACGGGCGCGCCCCGAACTTAACTTCTCCGGGCCACCGGTGTTCCAGGATCCTCCGAGTTCGTGGCGTGGACGGGGCACGGAGCAGGCCGCGGGGCCCGGCAGCTCCTGTTGACAGGGCCGCCGCGGACGCAAGGGCAGACGGGCGGACGCCGCGGGCCGCGCTCTCCTCTCTCTCTCTCTCCTCTCTCGCTCTCTCTCTCTCTCTCCGCGGCCGCGCGACAGCGGTGCTGCTGCCTGTTGAATGTGGCGGCGGCGGGGACTGCAGCGACTCGGCAGCCTCCCCGTCTTACGGGATCTGCAGCGGCTCCCCGCCCGCGGCGGCGCGCGCGCGCCGACCCGCCCTTGACTGACAGTCGGCGCGACCAATGGGAGCGCCGCGTCCCCGCCTGGGCAGCCAATGAGCGCGGGCCTGGGCGGGCGCTGCCGTCCCCCGGGGAGGCGGCAGTAGGCTGGTGGGGGGTAGTGGGGTGTTTTTCTTTCTCACACACTTTTTTTTCCCCAACCTCCGTTATTATTTTCTGCAATCCTCAAGTGTTTCTGAGTCTCTCGCGTCTCGGGGGTTCGGATCGCTGGGAGGCAGGCCGGCGTGGGGGCGGCGACCGTACTTTTGTTTACTACGGAGCGCAGTCGCGTACTCCCCGCGGGGCCCAGACCCCGGCTCCGGGAGGGAGGGGGGCGGCGCGGGGCCGCCGCGCGCTCCCGGGCGCGACGTGGGCGGCGGGGCGCCTCGTGCATGCCGCTCGCCCCTCTCCGCCCACGCGTCCTCGTGGGGCTCTCGGGAGGTCCGTGGGGTTTGTTTTGGAGGAATGTTTTTCTCAGGCGGCGGCCGCCCCGGGCCGGCGATCCTGCGGGGAGGACCCGTCGCTCCGCGGCCCCGGGGTCCCCTCTGCCCCTGCACACCTGCCAGCCGAGCTGCCGCTCATCCCGCACCCAGCAGAGGCGCGGCGCGGGGAGGAGGCGCCACCGCTGCACAAGCACACGGGGATCTCAAGGCTCCTGTGCGAACCGCTTTCCTGCCACGGGAGCCTCACTTTTCCCGGGGGACCAAAGGGTCAGGAGGAGAGCTTTTAGAGACAACCTTGGCATTTTATTGTCCCCAATTAAGTTGAACTGGCTGTTTTTTTTTTTTTTCTTTTTCTTTTTCTTCTTCTTTAAAATGAAAGTGATGAGGTGTTGAAGTGGCAAAAGGAGCTAAGCCCCGTGTGTTGGGGCACAGCCTTACCCCCAGGGTCCTTTAACCCTCCTGCTTGTGCGCCACCCGCGCCTCACTTTTCCCAGTGTGAGTTCCCAGACCTGGATGTTCAATATAGGTTCAGCAGGATCAAAGGTAGAAAGACAGTGATCTTTTTTTGCCTTACGCAGAGGGGGGGTGGTGTTTCCTCCCCTGATTTTCCAATTTGCTTTTTCTTTTAAGAATAAATATGGGTGGCGTTTTCTTTTAATGACTAGCATGCCTCAGAATTGAAGATGCATGAGGTTTAAACATGTCTAAAAAGAGAGCTGCCAGTTTCTGGTTGCTGTTTTATTTCACTCTTCTTTTTTACATGGAATTCTTTTACGTAAAAAGGCATCTAAAGAAAACCAGGCTTCAGACGAAGGTTTATTCCTTCTCCTTAGTCGCTAGCATCTCTCTAGTCCAGGCCCCTGTTCATAATCCCTTTATCGAACCGGTTTCCTGGACAGGCTTCCTACAGATTTGAAAGGTGATACGGGTGGAGATCCTGAACTGGAGGTGAGAACAGAGGTTGATTGACGTCTCTTCTCTTCACCTGGCTTACAGATTTTGGCTGGGGAAGTCTGCTCTGACAGCCGCCAGGAGACTTGAGTAAATATGTGAGAGTAAAAGAACCACAAAGAACAACTCTTACTCCCCCCTTCATAGATAGTCACACTCTGCGGAGGTGGGCCCCTCTGCGGAGGTGGGCCCCTGTTCAAGCAGCCGCACCCTGAAATAGGCGGAGCACTGGTGGATCATTCTTGGCGATGGAATCCAGCTGTGAATTTGGCCACAACCTCTCTTCCATTCCAGTTTCTCGAAGACCCAGATGAGAGCATTTGGTTAAGTTTTCCTAAAGCTTTCCCCAAATCTTCACCTTCCCACTGTCCCCCACTCTTTCTTTAAATGTCATAGTATGAGCTAGTGGTACAGCACAGGCTTAGCATGTGTGAGGCCCTGAGCTCAACACCCGAGACCAAGCAAGAAAAGAGTCAGAGAGCCTGTGTGATGTCCCTAATACAAAGGTTTTATGAGAATGCATTTTAAAAAGTTAGTATAGGTGATTATTCATGGTTGTGTCAAAAAAAAAAAAAGTTACTTAAGCACAGGGTGCTTCAGAACATCTCACTTGTCTCTTGTCTTTGCCTGGTACAAACTATTCTGTAAAGAAAAACCTTGTGTAACTGTCATTTCACATCCTCACAGGTAGGGAGAAGTGTGTAAAAACAGGAGTCACCGAGAGAACAGGCAATGTGCTTTGGGAATTTTGAAAGACACGGGCAAACTGCCCTTGATCAAAGTTATGTCCAGTTAAACTTTATTTTCTGGTAGCCCTACTAAGTGTTAGCTGTTGGAATTACATTTGGAGGTTGTCTTTGACCTCCTCCAATTAATAGGAAAGAAAATACCGCACTTAACCGAGACGCGCCAGGGCGGGAGCCTCAGCTTCCCGTCAGTGTCGTCTGTGCAGCTGCAGAAAAGCAGGGCACCCCCCAATACCTGTCCTCAATGGCCGTCGTGTGCATTCTCCCTGCTAACCGTGCATCATGGTAATCTCAGTCAGTGCATTCCGCCAAGGTGAGTGAAGTCATCCCTTACAAGATTAAGAAAGCAGGGCTTGTGACTTAACCCTGTAGTAGTGTGTGCCTGCCAAGCGTGCACGGTGCCCTGGGTTCCAGGACCAGCTCATACGATTACACGCACCAGTATCCCCAGCACTTCAGATGCAGAGGCAGGTGAGTTCCAAACCTAGTCCGGGCTACATGAGATCCAACCCTATCCCCACATCCCCATCCCACCCACCCCCAAACAGAAAGGATTAAGAAAGCAGAGTGGGAGGAAAAAGAGAGCGATACTACAATAAAAAGCGTTATAGTAAAAAACAAACAAACAAACAAACAATAAACATGGCAGGTGTGGCACATGCTGTCAAGCCCAGCCCTCAGGGAGGAAGAGGCAGACAAATCTCTTCTGAGTTCCAGGCCAGCCTGGTCTACACAGTGAGTTCCATGCCAGCTAAGGCTGCATAGTGAGACCTTGGCTCAAAAGTGAACAAATGAATGCTTTAGCTGGGACGGAAGGCCTGAAGTCCCAGAGATTCATAAAGCTGAAGCAGGAGATTCTCCAGTTTTAGGTTTCCTGGGCTGTGGAATGAGTTCAAGTCCAACCGGAAGGAGACCTAATTAGACCTTGTCTCAAAATAAAAGGAGGGCCGAGAATGCAGCCTCGTGACAGAGATTGCTGTCTGAGGCCCTGGGTTCAGTCCCTGGTATAGGGAGGGAAAAGAAGTAGAAATAATAAGCGAATAAAATACAGTTATGGCCTGTGATTATAGCAGAGTGGCATGCTTACTTGGTGACTCGTGTATGAGATTTTGGCTTTAATCCCTAGCACTGCAATAAAATAAAAGTCTTTGAAATGTTATCCCCACAATGCCAGCGATAACAACACTGAACAGTTCAGAAAGGTCCTTGTCACCTAAGGATGCTGTGCTGTCCCTTTAACACGGAGCCCTCGTGTTCCAGACTAGAAATAAGGACAGTGAAGAGCTAAATGATCTGCCCAAGCTTTGGACAGTTAGTGGGGCCAGATGCAAAATTCAGATTTCCTCTTGTTCAGGCCAAAAATTTGCTTTCCATTCCACTACCAATGATCACTTTTAGTGTATGGAGGTTTTGAGACCATCTGATGAAATTTATATAGTAGATCCCTACACTATTTTTTTTTTAAATAAACCAATTCCGAACTCCAAACTTCATGCACGTTCGAATTTAAAAATGTTTTGTGACACTGAGGGCTCATAGTATGGCCATAAATAGAGAGCACATGAAATTTCAAATTCTCACAGTGTCACAAATCTAAACCTTGCATTCATTTTGAAACACAATGTGTTTTCACTACTTTCTTTCTGTTTCTTGTCATATTAAAGCTTTTCCCCAAAGCAGGACATGTGTATTAAATAAGAAAATCTTGCCATGTAGCACACAGATGGTAGTACATTTTTGGCAGAGACAGAAGTTTTTAACAAGGCATTTTACTTGGAAAACTAGTGTGCATGGATGTTCAAGTTACAAAGTAGGAAATCAATTGCTATTTTATAATTTCAGTTCTTCTCCTCCTCTTCTCCTTCTTTTTCTCCTTCTTCCTTCTTCTTCTCCTTGTTTCTTCGTCTTCTGTCTCTCCCTCCCCCTCCTCCTTCTCTTTTCTGATCTAACCATCCTACCTGTATAGCATTCTAGCCAGCAAGGGAGTCAAATGTGATTGCAAACAAGTGACTAACAGTCCAGGGTAGTGATACTACCTGGATTACTACCTGTGTGCGTGCATGTGAGCGTGCGTGTGTTCGTGCGTGCGTATGTATAGACGCATGATAAAACATTATAGGAAGTGTTCAAGCATTACAGGAAGAGTGTGGAGGTCAGAGGTTAACTTTCTTGATTCCGTTCTCTCATTCTAGCTTGTGGACCCTGAGGAGATCAAATTCAGTTCCTCGGGATTGGTGGCAGGAAGCTCACTCACTAGTCATGTTAGTACTGGCTCTCACTGTGCTAGCCTGTTCTAGTAACCATATTGCTTGTCATTTGTTGATTGAAAGAATAATAATAGCAAGAGGTAATGGCTGTGTGGTTAAGAGTGCATTGTTTTTCTATAATGTGTAGATTACCTGTAGAGATGATGTAAAAACTGCGGACAATAGACTATCAACTTTAAGGGCTGGAGGGACCACTCGGAGGTTAAGAAAATTGAGTGCTCTGGTGCAGGACCACAGGGTGGCTCACAACCCTTAGTTCCAGGGGATTGGATGCCCTCTTCTGGCCCCTGCAGTTACTAGGCATGAGTGTGCCACAGAGACACCCGTAGGGAAAACATCCTATACATTTTTTTAAAAAATGTTTTTTAGAGAGAGGGAGAGATTATTAAATATCAGATTTGGCTGACTCACAGGACCCATCCTTATGTAAAGTTTCCTACGCCAGAAAATAAAGAGACATACATATCTCTTTTAAAATAGAATGTTTCTGTTTTGCAGTAAATACTACTTTTAAAAAC